TTACCGGTCATCTTTAAAAAAAAAAAAAAAAAAAGAATTCTATGATCTTGGGCAACCCACTTAATAATCTGAGTCTCACTTTCCCTGTTGAGGAAGCAGAAATGGTAATATCTTCCCTCTTACCTAAAGGGGATGTTAAGTCATCTATTGGATCATTCACCAGACATTTATTGCAAAGAAGTTTGGTATGGCTGGAAAAACAGAAACCATCTCATTGTGAACATCCTTTGAAAACAGTGTGGTACTGCAGAGATGGGAGGCCTTGAAGTTATTGCGAAAGACCAGCTTGGTAGTCATTAGTATTGTTTGCCAAATATGTGTGTCTCTCTGCCCTCCAGGCACTTGGTAACATTCTACTTCCTGGCTCCACTGTTTGGGTGGGCCACATCACTAGGTCTGACAAGTGGTACCTAGTAATGCCATTATGTTAAGTGCTTTAAAATCTTACACTGAGAGCTTTAAACATGTCACTTCTAGAGTAGAGCATTTAATTGCTGGTTTGAGGCCCTCTAGGACTTTTTTGTCCTCTTCCATGGTGCTATATTCTGAATGTCCCCTCTGAAGCTCATGGGGAAACTTGATTCCCCATGTGACAGCATTGAAACGTGGGGCCTTGCGAAGATGATTGGATCATGAGGGCTGTGCCCTCATGAATGGGTTAATCTACTCATGAATTAATGGGTTAAGGAATGAATGGGTTATCATGGGAGTGGCACTAGCAGTTTTATGAGGAGGAAGCGTGTTAGCATGCTCCCATCCTTGTCATGTGATACTTTGTGCCGCCTCGGGACTCTTCAGCGAGTCCCTGCCAGGAAGAAGGCTCTCACCAGATGCACCCCCTCAGCCTTGGACTTCTCAGCCTTGCAGATTGTAAGAAATAAATTTTCTTTCTTTATAAATTACCCACTTTCAGGTATTCTATTCTAAGTGACAGGAAACTAATACACACGGTCACTGGTGAACTTTCAGATAATGGCTGCTTCATCAGCCTGGGTCCCATAGTGAGGAACATGACAGCCCCAGGTGACTGGCTATGAGTTTGTAGCGTGAGCAAGAACAAATGTTTTGTTTTAAGCCTTGGAGGTACTTTGGTAAATAATTCCTGTGACTGTTCTCTTTCTTTTAGCGGTTGGATAAGTGCAAGGTCATTTCTAAGGATGCATCAGAATTCAGACAAAGGAATAACCCCTAAGGTCATACTCAGATACTTTTTCAGTCACCTCATAAGGTAGGTTTATGTGTACAATTTCTCAATTCATTACTGCTATGTAATAATCCATTATTTTTCAGTCATTAATCCTCTTTTGAAAGAATTTCCAAAGAAAAATAAACTCAAATAGTTTTCTTCCTTAAATAGAGTTTGGTTTTTTTTGCTAGTTTAATTCAAATTCTCTTAGGACAAATACTGTGAAAACTGGTATCTTCCACTGCCAAAAACACCCTATTCCTCACCTGATGGGCAGTGATTTCAATAAATACTGTCAGATTTCCATGGAATCTATATTCAACAGTGAAAGAAAGTGAGCCGAGATGCCGGGTACCTTTCAAGCTTTATTAAAGGAAAAGAATCTACCAGGCTGTGCTCAAAGTGGGAACAGCCCAGGGCTGCCCTGAAAAGGGGACAGCACCAGGTGTGGGGGTGGTAGAGCTTATATAGTGCACCAAGGGCTGGCTGATACCATCAAGGAGGGGCATTATGCTAATATGGATCTGGGTGGAGAACTGCGTCCTTGCGGAAGCAAAAGGGGATTCAGTTTAAGTCAGGAGGCTTCTCCTAAAGGGAAGGGGGAGGGGAGGGGAGGAGGTGGGCGGCACCATTTTGTACCTGGGCTTGTCTAAAGTGGCGCTGGTTATGTTGCAGATCTATTAAACAGGAGAACATGAGTGCTATAAGGTGATCATTTGGAGACAAAAACAAGGCAGGGACTTCCTCTGGAAGGATAGTTAGGGAAGGTGACTTTTGGCCAGGACCTTGAAGGAAGTAAAGGAATGTTCCAAGCAAAGAAAATGCTGTGAGGGAAGAATAGTCCATTCAGGGGGAGCTGAAGGGCCAAGGTCATGAGGAGGGAATGAGGTTGGTGTTTGAAGAACCTCAAAGAACCCAAAGGTGCTCTTTGGAGTGGAGGTAGCAAGATGGAGAATAGGGGGAATAAGGTCAGAGAGGGGTGGGGACAGGTCAGGTGGGGCCTGTGGGCTGCCCTCAGGACTTCTCTTGTTGCTCTGAGACAAAGTCTTAGGAGGTTTCCAGCAGAGGTGTGGCACGGTCAGATTTAGTTTTACAAGAATCACTGTGGCTTCAGGCAGAGCACTGGCTGTCAGTGAACAAGGCCAGATGTTGGGAGGCCAGTTGGGAGCTACTGTAAGTTATAAGAAAATGATTTTTTTTTTTTCTTTTTGAGGTGGGGAGGTGGCTGGACGGTACAAGGATCTGAACCCATGACCTTGGTGTTATAAGGCTGGGCTCTAAACAACTGAGCAACCACCCAGGCTCTTCCCTTCCTCCCTTTTCAAGAAAATTCAAATACCCAATCTCTAGGAGTAAATCAGAACAGAGATAATCTAACAGAAATAAAAAGGGTAGATGCTCCAGAGCACTAGAACTGCATGATTATTCTAACTAGGAGGCACACTTTAAAAGTCAGGGTTTTTTAATAGCTTGTGATAAAAATGTCTAACTATAACACATTGTACACTGTACTAAAATTCAGTCCCCCTTCCAGTCTCGCTCCCCCCAGGAGACCTCTGTTAACAGTTTCTTGTGAATTCTTGCAAAACTTGCCATGTATTTATAAGCACTGTTTTCCCTCCATGAATAGGATTATATACCATAGACTGCATTGTTTTGCATGTGGCCTTTTCACTTAATGATTCAGCATTGGCATATTTCTCTATTAAGCATGTAAGGACCCACATTACTGATGTTAAACGTTGCTTGTATGGTGCTGTGTATTTAACCTGTGTCTGTTAATGGGCATGGAGGCAATATCCAACCTTTTTGCTGTCTTAGACAATGAGACAACGTATGTGTATTTTGTGCACTCGTATGGGCATGATTGTGGGCTAAATTCCTACAAGAGGAATGGGTGATTTGGTGCATGTAACATTTTAATGGACATTTCCCAATTTACCTTCCTACCTGCCTGATATGAGAATGTCTGCTCCCCACACCTCCACAACATTGGCCAGTATCCCACTTTTTAATCTTCGAAAACCCACCTTGACTTTAATTCTTCTGGAAATTTGTACATTTTGTACAAAAATGTAGCGCATATACATTTATATGGTGCTTTAGATGTTTCACACTGTTTTCTTATTTATCTCATTGGA